AAAAATATTATAGTCCAATATTTTCTTCTGATCAGCTCCATATCAAGCAAAGAACCACACAGGGCTATTTTCTTACAAGACTTCCAAAAACCACTGTTTCAACTAAAACAAAAATGAGAAACATTTCCCTCACATAGAAGTAATGAGTTTTCTCATTAAAACCCAAAACAGCAAAGGAATTTCTAAGGCTTTCCTTCACTGCAGACCCTTATCAGGCTCAGCTGCGAGTTAGTGCACGCCTTGTGAACAGCTGTTTTGCTCAGGAAGGGGTCAGCGGTCCCTTGGCCATAGGGTAGACCCAAAGTAATGTGACTTGTTATTCCCAAGATAATTACAGTAAAATTGCACACCACAAGCAATTGCAGCAGCCACGATGGGACAGTCATTCCATTTCCCCAGGCACTCGTCCATATGCAAAACTGGTAGTGAAGCTGCTGCTGCACATATGCCTGCAGTTTGCCACTTGGGTTTTCTCCAATGGCACTGTCTTCTGTGTTAGATACCGCAGAAAAGTAACCAGTGACAAACCTCAGTGGCACTGAAGCTCTTGCTCAGGCCAAGCTCAGGCCACAGATGTCTGCTGGCAGTGGCACAAGCATGATCTCCAGCCAATACATCTGTGTTGGCAAAAGCTCTTGGGTAAGTGCAGGTAAAGTAGCAAACCTGCACTTTGACTGAGAGTAGTTTTAGTCTTTATTCTTGCATGGCCAAGGGTAAACTGCACTGGCTTGTGTCACCAACTATATCCAAACTCAGAAGCTTTCTCCTGTGGAGCAAACCTATATTGAGCAGAGCCCCCTTTCCCATACAACACTGCCCAGATACTCTCCTCCTCTCAACTTCTGAGTTATGGAGTATGCAGACAGCAGCACTGACTTTCATGTAATTGACAGAAGGAATGCTTTTCTCATGCTGACTTCACTCTTTTGGGAGCTTTGCTTCAGTACAGCAAACATCTGACCTCCAGCTTAGGAAAATCAACCTTAGAAGTTTTTTCTAAAAATAACTGCTATTAGATAAATCTACTTGTGGCCTTGGGATTTTTTTTTTCTTTTTGCCTCTAGTATACTGTCTCACATCCTGAGCTTTTAGTGCAAGCACTGCTTTGACTCTTGCAAAACAGAGATGGGTCAGGAGATAAAAGAACATTTCACATTTAAGAAAAGCAACACCTGTTAAAGGCTACCCACAGACTGGCAAGCCAGGTCACTCAAAGGCACGGCCAAACTGGTGAGTTCTCCCTCAGCAATTGTGCTTACTCCACTGCTAAATAATTATTAGAAGTTGTTATCATTAAGAAATTAATATTTTCTTTCAGCAGTGACTTTGAAATACAATGAAATATTCAGGATAAAACTTCTAAGCCAGCATTAATTATGGAAAATCCTGTGAAAGGAAAATAATTTATACTAGCTTATGGTTTCCCTCTGCCCCTATAATTACCTCACCCAGATGATGAGATGTAAGATAGAGCTGTGACAGTGTTTTCTGAAATTTCACACAATTAAGCAGTGTGAAGATTTTTTTTTCAAACTTGGGTATCACTAACAAGGTTTTAGTTCTCTTCCTCACATCTTTTCCTTGTTGATAATCAGGAGGATATATTTGGATTCACTTAACAACACAACCCTGCTGTTTACTAGGAGGCTTCTGCAGCATCTGGCACCAGCCCTGCTCACTGGCAGGGAGCAGACCTCAGGGTGGGAGGGTGAGTTCTGCTTTCTGTAGAGTTTCTCACTCATCCCGGCAATGCTGCTGTGGTGTCATGATGAAAAAATGTTGGCTTTGCTTTTGTTGGTCAATAGTGAAAAATTATTCCTGACATTTCTGCTGTGTATTTTGGGAGAAATCTGTTTCAGTCTTGGACTATGCTGTTAATTGAAAAACTATGACATCCACCTAAAGTGCTTAGTTAATATTTTCTTTGTTTAATGTATTGGCTTGTTCAAGAAAATTTTTAAAAATTAGATCAGTAAGTTTATCAAGCAGGCTTGTGTCTGGTTTAAATTAAAATTGTCTTCAGTTACTCAAATACTTTCCTGATCACTCATTGAGAATATTACATTTTCCCTTCTTCTTGTGGTTTCTCTTTCTTGCTGTGGGTGGAACTCCAAGTCTTCTTCTGATAAAAGCTTGTGGCATTGATTTAGCTGTCCTACACCAAGTGCACAGCACATGAGACAGTGAGATGTTGTAACTATTATATAAATCCATCCATAGCTCTTAAGTACATGCATGTGTATACTTAAGCATCAGAACACTGTTGTACTTATGTCACAATTCCTGGATCTGGATAACTGGAACACACTGACTGACAGTAGCTACTGTTCAAATATCATCCTTGTTATTTTCTTCACACCAGGACTGCTGGAGGCCTGTAAGGGAAGCAGGGCAGGGCAGGAGCTTTTCTGAGCTCAAGTTAAGCCATGTAACCTGTGAGGGTTGCCCAAGCCGTTGGGAAATTGTTAACACCACTGAATGGTCACCATCAAGGAAAGCAATATTCGTCACTCACTTGCACTCAGGCTGGTGTGGGAGGAAAGAAAGGAGAGGGACAGGAACTCGGTGACACATCAGATAACTGGCATTTATGTAGATCTAGGACATTCTGTATTCCTCTGGGACCCTTTTGGGGCCCTTCACATCTGATTTCTAGGACTTTTTGGGTCTTAAAAAGAATATCCTGTTTGTCTTGGGTTAAAAAAATTAAATTAGTCTGGGTGGAATTACATAAGAATGATAGAAAAATTCTGGGACTGTGGTTCTCAAGTAATTGGGTACCAATTCCTTCTTCCAGTCTCAGGCTGTTTTGTTTGTTCACATCTATTTTTTTTTTATAGTGGCAATATTGGATGAGTTTTGTGCTGAATTCCTTATCAGTGCAGGTTAGGACTCATTAGAGCCTTGCTGTCCAACTGTGTCTGCATATCTGCCCCCTGCCTGATTCTTCATCAGGCTTAGGTGAGAAAGTGGGTGCCAAGATGTAAAGGTCTACCACCACAGCAGCAGCTGTGAGCATGCACAACAGCAAACCCTGAAGAATTTACTGGGAAAAAAACACAAGGAAAACAACAACTTGGAAATAAGGAACTTTTTTTGCTCTATTTTCCCCCAATATTGGCTTTATTATTGAATACTGTATGGTTTTGGTTTTTTTCATGCTTTTGCAAAATGATATAGATATTTTCTAGTCATCTTCCAAAGTCTGCTTGCTGCAACTAAAGCAACATTTAAATTTATAAACTGGGGTGTGAATATATAAAAATGTGATTATTCTCTTTTGGCGCCTTTTGCTTTGCTTATAGAATGTTTGGGTGTTTAGGCTGATTCTGTAAAGCTAGTTTACCAAGAAATACCAATGAATTTACCATTTTGATCCAGCTGATTCTTTTCCTTAGCAATTATCAACTCTGTAGCATGTCTGTCCCATTTGTGCTGTTCTTTGATTAAACTACTCTTGGGAAACTCCAGACCGCTAGACTATTAAGCTAGTAAAAGCTTTTATATAAAAGCAACTGTATGACATTTGATTTTTATAGCTCATAAAGATATTTGGAAATATTTGCTTTCTTTTTCCATTTATTTTGTATTTTTGGAAACCTTTGTGTTAAACTGAGCATCATAAATAGACTCAGCAGTCAGTAAATCCACTGAGCCTTCTGCACACTAGGAAAGCATCTGGCTGTTCTGCAGTGCTTGCAATGAGCTCCAGAGATTTCCCTGACTCAGACAAAATGAGAAAATGAACTTCTTTGGCAAGCTAAAATCACCTACTTAAACAATTCTCTTCCAATTATCTTTCCTCCTATTCCTACTTTATTCTAGCCTCTATCTGATTTTTCAGCTTGATCTAAGTACTCATTTATTGCTGTATTATGTTCAGTATGAGTTTGAAGCTGCAGACCTGGATGCTGCCCTGGTGCCTGCCTGCAAATCACTTGTGAGACAGAACTGGATTTCCTGTTTTTGCCGAAACTACTAAAATTGTGGGTTTCTGTTTCATAGAAGCTGTTGAGGTGGGGTAGGGTGGGAAATAGCAGCATGTAGTGACAGGATGTCACTTCCCCAAATTTACTCCAAATTAAATTTTAAAAATTGCAATTCATAAGTTATTGTACAGATGAGCCGAGTAATAGCTTTTATGCTTTACTTTGGTTCTAAAAGACAAACCTGGAAAGGACCTAACCCTGTTTGGGGGGAGGTTAGTTTTTCTTTTCATTTATTGGAAAGGGAATCGTTTCTTGAACTAAGTTTTATTTATATGTTTTTTTAATTTGGTTTCTTGAACTTTGAGTATGAGGTGAGCACAGGAAGTATCAGTTTTCTGGCTGTGAGAGTGGGTGGGTCACTGTTGGCAGCAGAAGCTTTTGAAAAGTTACAGAAAAGAAAGCTTTGACTGTTCAGAGCTATTTTCATGCATTCAGTGTTCTTTACAGACTGGAAGTGATGCGTACATCAAATTACAAGTGCAGATTTCTAAGAATGCTTGGTACAAAATGATGTTGTTAACACTGGACTGCAAGAAGGTCCAAGAGTGGGTGCCTTTTGGAAATCTTGCTTCAATAGCCATTAAAAACAAAAAAAGGAACTGATTCTTTGTTTTAAACATAGCCCTCTTATGAGTAGATTGCTGAGATAAAAGAGAAGGGTGACAAATTGAAGAATGAACTTGAAGGTGTATTGGGAGAAAAACTGCATCTAGGCTCATTGAAGACTTGATTTGTGTTCAAGCATTCATTAAATAATTTTCTATGACTAACATTATTTCAGCAATCAAGGAACTGAATATCCTTTACTGCAGTTGAATAAACTCTGAAAGTCAATCCCTTGAACAGCTGAAGATGTCAAATAAATGTGTAATCATGAAATCTGATTGAATTCTGATGCCGGTGGGCAAACAGCTCAAGGTTTTAAGAAGTACTGCTATTCACCACAAGCTTGTTTTTTTATGTGATAGAGGCTGTGTTGCTAATCAGATGTGGTATCTTTCTGTCTTACAGATTTACCACTGGATTATAGATTTACACGATTTTCCTCAAATAGTTCAGCAACTGCTGGGTACTACCCAAGCCCTCCAAGAGCACTGATGCCAAATGAGGACTCTGTGATGATGAAATAGGTTGTCAGCTTTTTCCTTAGATAACCCTGTGGCCCTTACTTAAACTGCTATCAAATGCTAATTGGTGAAAATGCTGTGTGATGCTTCATAAAATAGAGTGATGAATTAAAGCAGACTCCTGTGTAGATTTGTGTTTCACTTGTTTCTCTAGTCCAGCTGGAACAGGTGAGTGATGCATCCTTCTCTCTAAGGATGCACCACTACCTTTCACAAAGTGCTGCTGCCTTTTCCCATGTACCTACAGCCTTCAAGAGAAATGAAATAGTAATAGCTCATTCCAAGTTGCATTCTACATTTTTGAGGACATTTTATCTACTCTCCCTATATAAGGTGATGCTGTTGCTACCAAAAGCCCCAGGAAAGACACAAACCAGACTCGCAGCCATATTTCAATTAACAGTTGCCTTGGACAACCCAGGTTATCACCATACACCAATCTTTTCCAAGCTCTGAGGAATTTATTCTCCCACTGTATCTGTGCTTGGAGACAAAGAAAGACTGAGTCCCAAAGAGAAAGCTCATCATACTCAAAGAGAGATTTGAATAGGATATAGGCAACTAAATGCAAACTGATAATTCAGGAAACCTTTATCAAACTTTGTATTCCTGAAAATGCCTGACCACTCTTCATCCATAAGATTACCTACATGCCTTTTCCTCCTTTAGTCTGCAATACCTCAAGCATCAGAGCTCTTCTGCAGAAGGAGGGAAACCTGCATACATTTCCCTTCTCTGATGGATTCAAACCCACATTCTCCACCCCCTTAGGAAAAGCTCCCAAGAGTAGGAAAGGTATAGCAAAGCCATCTTTGCTAATTACAGCCTCAGCCAGAAGGGGAGCAAGACTCAAGGCATGAACTGAAAAGATGTGATTTTTACCTGCTTATTTAAACAAACATGAATCCAGTTCTCTGTGGATTTAGGTTCAAAGACCTGTTCTCCTGCACTTATGAGAGGAAGAGCTCAGTAACTAACACAGGCTAGCAGATGCAAAGACATGTCAAATATTTGTTCAGTCCACCGTTTTGTCACACTAGGATGGCAGATTTTTGGATAAACTTCCCTCAGAAATTAAAGAATAGTAAACAGAAACTTAATGTTCTTGTTTTCAAGGAAAAGAACTCACTTTGTTAGGCTTAGATGATTACCAGAATGGATTTAGCTTGTGTCACCACAGCTCACTCTGTATCTTTGTGGCTTCACCAGCCACATTTTATGTCAGAATCAGACAAAAACACCATTCCACCATGTTTCAGAGGTACTGGCCTCTTGTCTGCATATTTTTTCCTGCCTTTACATAAAGTTATTTTTACATTTTTGTGGACCAATATACTTGCAAGTAATAACATTTCCAAACTAGCATCAGGCATTGGTTTGTTGAAAGGGAAACATAAAACAAATGGGGAAAATATTGAGGAAAATTTCCTTTAAGACAAGGTGAATGAGAAATGAAAATGAAAGTGCCATTCGCCTCATAAAATATAGGCTGAAAATATTTTACTTAAGATGAAAACAGCAATAGTTGAGTTTATTTGGAAATTTTTTAATCAGCATCAATGTCTTCAGCAGCAAATCTGGCTCATGACAGTGCTATGATTTGTATTAAGGAGAGAGATACCCAGATTAAAATCTCAGATTCCTGATTACAGCATCTTTGAAATTCTAGCCTGAATCGAGTAATCTTCTGGAAATAATATCTAATTAATTTATGGTCCAACTCATATTGTGTACTTTCACGCTTCTGTTGTTATGAATTTGGAACTGATTTTTTTAGGTTGGGGATTTTTTTTCTTGATTTTTTAAAGAAAACTAATCGAATTGTTACAGAAAATCAGACTGAAAATCTTCTAAGTCCTTGGGTCCTGGTGTCTCAGTGGATTTTTTTTTTAATGGAAAGGTGGCAGATTCTAAGTACAGCCTGAACCCAAAGCTCACCAGAAGAAAAACATATGCCCATCTTTGACAAAGGCTGTCACCAGCCATTTGCACTTGCTGCCAGAAGGATCTCACAGCAGCAGAGAAGGAAGGAGATAACAGAAAGATGCTGTAAGCACAACTCCATGAGCCACTGTAGTCTGTGGCTGCAGGAAGACTTGGGAAAAATAACTGATGTTCTTGCCCAAAAAGTAGAGTTCCTCTCACTTAAAGACTTTTCAAGAATCTGTGAAAATTATACAGGTCTTATTACAAAGCAGAGATTGGCAATGGAGGAATGAGGAAGCAGTTGGTGCTGTGGCAGGAGGAGAGCTGTTGGAAATGGCATGAAGAACCAGGGAGAGGAAATGCACATGGCAGAAAGTTGGTAGAGAGCTGGCCATATTTAATATGACACTGTAAAGACACTATCTTTGCTTTTTCTTTATTTCTCTCTCTTCTTTGTTTTTTTTTTTTTTGTTTGTTTGGTTTGGTTTGGTTTTTGTTTTTTTTTTAACCCCTGGAAATCTCTGAAATTTCTTGGATTCTCTTGTGAGAGGCTGTTGACAGAAAAATTGCTGAAGTGCCTGCGAAACTATCTTGAGCATCGTCAGGGAGACATGAAGTTGTAGGGTTTCCTTGAAATCACTGTGTCAGGTTAGACAGCCCTAAAAGCCACAGTTTTGCTTAAAACCAGAGATGAATACCAAGTCTTCTTTGGTGTCTGTTTTGGTATAAAGCACATGTGTCTGGATTTTAAAATAAAGAGAATTTATTTCTGAAAAAAATAAAAATGTTCTCTGAATTTACTTTATAGCCAACCAGCAAAATGAGAAAGGGGAGATAGCTTCTCTCAAAGCAGTGCAAGGAAAGGATTTGCTACAGCCTCAAACAAAACAAAATTTGATCTGCTCAGCATAAGACATATAAAACAATCAAAAATGTTAATAAATTAATACCTTTAATACGGATAGGGAAGTAATCTTTGATGCATAGAAGAGCTCAGTGCAGGTTTCCTGACTACAGCTTCTTCATGGGAACTGAAGGCTTCTTCATCCCCAGTGAGAAGTTAAATAAACAAATGCAGGCAGATTATCTGTGCTGACCACAGGGCACTGCTGGGCATAGAATTTGCCCCTTCCCCAGGCTAATGGGGCTCTCCAGCTCACCTGAGTCCCATATCTGTGATAGTGCAGTAGCAATTCTTAAGGGAATTCCCAGGAAAATTTCTCTGATGACAGGCCCTGGAAACCAGCATTCCCAAATCTAGTTTAAGTCCTTCCTCCTGAGGCCAAGTATGCATTAAATCATGCCAAGGTAAATAATAGCAGGGCATAAGAATAAGTTACTTAGCAGAGATGCCACCAGCGGGAAGGTGACATCTGAACTTCCCTTTTTCCACCACAGGGAACAAAAACACCGTAAGCATAAAACACACTTTCCTCACGAACTTGAAACATCAACACAGAGCACAGCTTCTCAGAAAGTCAGGTTTAGAAATAAAGCCACCTCTCTGGAAGAAGGTAGAAGAATCACACGCTTCACCACAGGGATCTGATGGGAAGATGTTGCTTTGAACTTCCCTGGAAGGGAGCACGGCGTGGGGCAGCCTGCTCCTCCTTGGTGTCATGGAAGGAGCAAGACAAGTTTTACAGTACATTTAAGCAACTGACTTTTAAAACAAAATATGCCTGTATGCCCATATTCTTGGAGGCAAATAGCATTTCAGCTGACTCATGGCATCAGATTTAGTGGGGAAAGCACATGGCTAAGCTACAGGAACCTTACCTCTGTGGGGAATGCCAGCTGTAATGGTATAATGGCTAAAATGGTGTAGCCACAGACATCTATTGTTAACAATTGGCCAGAAACCAGCCCTTCCAGCAAGCACATAGCTGATCCAGAGCCCCCAGGGGAAAGGCTAAATCCCATTATAAATCCAGTTGCCTGTAATTTTGTTTTCTGCAATTCTAAGTGGAACATCAAACCCCCTTGGTGAGTCACAGGAAAGAAAAAAAATTAAAATAGGTTTTCTTTTGAATGTTTTTGGTGCAAGAAACAAATCCTGTTTTTTGGTAAGCATTATAAATAGAAATGTTTAACTGGAAAACAGAGCCTGGATTAGAGCCAAAATAAGATGGAATCCAGGAAGTTAATCAGACTTGGTGATTTCCAGCCCTAAAAGCTTGCTAGCATCTTTACAGGGCAAACTGGGGATTCCTGACTACAGGACTGGTGCTGTGACCAGCATGGCCAGTCATTTTCCTGAATATGGGGCAGAGGAGTAAGGTAAATCTTTCCAGTATGAAGTGGGTACCCACGGCTGTTCTCTGGCAGCCATAGCAAGACCACAGAGGTTTTACAGCTGGCCAGATGTCACAGTTCACAGAAGGGCAAACATCTGAAGCAGCACATTCAACTTCTGTCCCGCTGCAGCTAAACTGATTTAATCAGAACTGTGCTAAAAATCCCTCATGCCTCCCACTCCTGCTGCCACAGTGCACACGTGGCTTTCTCACACATGGCCATAACAACTTTTAAGTACTTGCACAGGGGTGAGAAACCATCACAGCCACTTCAAAATTATGTGATGCCTTCCAGCCCCTTCTGCAAATTAGAGGTTACAAGACACAAAATGGTAGCAGCACAAATGGAGCAGCAGTCTGCACAGCAGCTCCAACAGCCCAGCCAGAGCAGATTCTCCAGAGAGAAAGGTATTTCTGCTTTCCACTGGGTACTAGATTTTGAGTAAAAACACTCCATTTGCTTCCCCCTTAAAAGGCTGAGAACTTACATTCCTTTCAAGAGTGAAGAAAATCATAAACCAACTTACACTGTATACAGGAAAAAAAAAAGGAAAAAAATAGGTGTTCTTGTTCAAAGTTTATGAGAGTATTATGAGGGTATTTTCAGGGTGTATTTTAGGAAATAAGTCCATTAACTTTCAGTAGACTTTGTTCTGTCACAACACTAAACGAACTCTAAAAATTGGGACTCCATGTTCCTAATAAATTTATATTAAACAATTCATTTCTAAATCCTCCACAATCTCTGAGGAATAAAAGTACAGGTGAATATAGCAATTATTTTCATGCCTTATCTCAAAATAACTCATGAGAGTTTCAGTTTTCTTTCTATATCGTCCCCTATAACCTCAGCCCACAATGAAAAATTAAATATGCGCTCCTGGGTGCAG